CCCCCTAAAAGATATAGATTTAAGGAAGATACATGTTTGATAGGAAAGAGGGAGCAAACCACTAGAGCTGGATCCTGCTCGCCAAACCTGAGACTGGCGATTCGCGATTCAGTCGGCTTCAAAGAATCACGAGTACGCGAGCGCTCGTGGAACTGTGGAGGAACACTGACTGAAACGGAAGAGTGTCATATCAACGCCACTTGGCGAGCGCGAGTCCCACTCTTGTTGTTCCGCCATCCTCTCCGCCCCACACCCTTTGTTGCGCTGCTCTATCAACTGACCTCAATTACCGACCCCATGAATCCCCCCTCCCCCCCATGATTCGCTAAAACAATGGCTCCATAAAATGCCTTCTGTCTATTGGCTGGAACCCTTTCACTTTGTTTTAATAGGGGGGTTGGACTATACGATCTTTTGTAAAATAAGGGGAGCCATACTAAGTGTTCCGTCACGTTCTTGCTCTCGCGACTTGACTCAGCAGTAGGTTACAAACATATAAGCCACAAGGTGGTGACAGTCACAGGGGAGGGAATCGGGAATCGGAAGGTGATACTGTTCCGCATTCCGCAGAAGTGAATCGTGAATCGCATTCCGCAGGCAAGAGCGGCGATTCAGTTCCGTTCTCGCGCTCGCGACCCAGCTCTACAAAGCACAGCAGAGCACCCACCACCCACCCACCACCAGATGGGAACAGGTCATACTTTTAGACTCAAGACAGGTCCCGTCAGCTGACAACACACTTGTATACACACAGGTCCCGTCAGCTGACAACACACTTGTATACACACAGGTCCCGTCAGGCTGACGACACACTTGTATACACACAGGTCCCATCAGGCTGACGACACACTTGTATACACACAGGTCCCATCAGGCTGACGACACACTTGTATACACACAGGTCCCATCAGCTGACAACACACTTGTATACACACAGGTCCCATCAGGCTGACAACACACTTGTATACACACAGGTCCCGTCAGGTGACAACACACTTGTATACACAAGGCTAAGGATCTAGGCCAGTCAGGGACACATGCCCAAGCAACACAACCTTCACCACAGAACAAGTGCTTGAGGAATGTCCAATAAAAAGACAATCCCAGAGACCACACGGCCAGAGCTACTCATTCTTAGTGACTATCTTTGCCTTTATGAGGCGGTACTTTCAGCGACCACACGGCCAGAGCTACTCATTCTTAGTGACTACCTTTATGAGGAGGTACTTCCAGAGACCACACGGCCAGAGCTACTCATTCTTAGTGACTATCTTTGCCTTTATGAGGAGGTACTTTCAGCGACCACACGGCCAGAGCTACTCATTCTTAGTGACTACCTTTATGAGGAGGTACTTCCAGAGACCACACGGCCAGAGCTACTCATTCTTAGTGACTATCTTTATGAGAAGGTACTCCAAGAGAGCACACAGCCAGAGCTACTCATTCTTAGTGACTATCTTTATGAGGAGGTACTCCCAGAGACCACACGGCCAGAGCTGCTCATTCTTAGTGACTACCTTTATGAGGAGGTACTTCCAGAGACCACAATTACAGAGAAAAACAAAGAGGAAGATTTTGAACTTGACATTGTTTTCAGAAAAAAACTAAAAACGCACACAAAAAAAAGTGAAAACTTACTCACATCCTACAGTAAGCTCTACAAAAATAACTACATACTTAAAAAGCAGAGACAATAGAAAGAAACATTTCTCAAACGTAACGAACGTAAACATAAACGCTTGTCCAGCATTCACCTGGTGGTTCGTTCTCAGGTTATCAATCTGCTTCTTGTAGACTGAACTCCAGAAATCTTTGCACAGGAACTTCATGGTATCAAGTTCATCTTTAAATCTAGAACATTCGCGGGTGAATCTGGAATAAAAACGAAGGTGTGAAATCTGTAAAGAAATATATACAATGTATACAGCACACCCATCACACTGAGAAGAGAGAGAGATGGAGAGAAGGGGGAAAAAGAAAGGGAGGGAGGGAGGGAAGGAGGGAGGGAGAGAGAGAGAGAGAGAGAGAGAAAGAGAGAGAGACTTCATTAATTTTAGCTAGTTTCATTTTATCTCATTTATCTTTCTTTTCTTCCTGTCCTCTGAGAATCAGATCAGCATGAACTATGTGTGACATAAACATCTTATTACAACATTATTCAATCTGATGGTTCGGACAGGAGAGTACAGATAATTTAAACATGCAAATCTCTGATTTATGGCATGGACAGGAGAGCACAGATAGTTTAAACATGCAAATCTCTGATGTATGGCATGGACAGGAGAGCACAGACAATTTAAACATGCAAATCTCTGATTTATGGCATGGACAGCTCGAACATAACTCAAGTCCCTAATTGAACTGCTACCTGTGAGATGTGCTGACAAGAACAGTTACTTCTAGCAATCTATGAATGGAGATATCGGCCTAAAATCAACATAATATGAATCAAGTTTGTTGGTTTGCAACTGATACCATGTTATTTTCTTAAAGTTTAACATGTTTTTTTTATCATTTCATACGACAGTCGACTACACATGAGTTGACGTCGTCGGGGGAGTGAAAAATAGACCAACCCAGCCAAAGTTCAACTTAACTGTTGGGAATTGTAAAGAACTTAGAAGTGCCGCTGGGACCCAAGAAAAAGATCAACTTAGCCGAAGATCATATCATCAACTCACGCGAGTCCACCACAAGTGGAGTGGACTGTAATAAATTGTCAAAACTCAACCTGTACTTTTGATGAATGTACCATCTATTGCCCGACTAACTCATTGTCAGTACATCTCACACATTTTCTTTGTACTGGCTGCACTGTTTTCTTGAATATCTGCACGGATGTGTCTAACAGCCTATCTTGAAAAGCCCAATCAAATTTTTTCTCATAATCGTCATGAATTCAAACACATCTTCTTAGAAACAAAAGTACACTGGGCTGAGTACAGAAGCAGCAGAAGCTCAGTTCACATCCTATCACTATCATTAAGAGCCACTCTCCTTAAAGAGTCTCCTGGCTGGAGCAAGACGCCTCTGCTACAACGCGCAATATTGCTGCCGCAACAACATCATCACTTGTGATTAGGATGTGGGCACAACTGTTTGTGAACCTTTGTCTAGAGGGAGTGGGTGTGAGGGAGATCAGTCCCCTTTGAACATTTGGTGTGAGGGAGATCAGCACCCTTTGAACATTTGGTGTGAGGGAGATCAGCACCCTTTGAAAATTCAGTTCAAGAGGGTTGCTGTTAGGCGGACACCACAGATTGTCTGGAAGTTTGTTGTCTTTGTTAAATCAACAGACTGGCTGTATTCCTGTTTTATGAACTCGGTGTATTGTGTTGAACAAAGTTGTTATTCAGCACGCGCTCCACCTTCTCTCAGTTACCCCGCCCTCTTTGAAAAATTTGAGTCAGGAAAAAGGGATAGAAGAGAGAGGCATATCTTTAAAAAAAGAAATTGGTGTTACTCACACGCACATGGTAGCTTCTTATACACATACAAACATAAACCTCATCACTCCTTACCTCTCAATTAGGCTTTGCCCTACACGGAAACCAAGAGCCTCAAGGGTAGAGATGCACTGATCCTGTAAAAGAAATTGATTAGATTTTTTAAAATGAACTTCTCTTTCTTTGATCATAATCTACATTACACTTGTGCTAAAATCTGTTTGTTTTTTTATCTTATGCATTAAGTCATATCTTTCCATGTGATTGAAAATTTGCATTGATTGTATCAAATTATTAAGGGATATTTCAAATTCAAGGAACAAAGTAAACAGTTATTTCATGATGGTCACTTTGGCACAGTGGAGGAGCACGCAGTTTGTTATCATAATGCCTCTCCAAACCTGTTTGAGTTTGAGAAGAGAAGCACACTGACACAATAACTGCTCATAGAGTGCAGGGAACAAGCAAGACAGACAGACAGACATAAAAGAGGGGGAAAAAGTACAACCTACTCGTGACACCCTTCAATCACCCGTTCTCCGTTCTGGCAAACCCAACCAGTCATGACCTTTCGTAAAATGTTATCTATTATGAAACATACAGGTCCAATGGCGAATCATGTGTGACTGACAGGAACAGGAAGGCAGCAGCGGGAGAGATGTGTGTGTGTGAGGATATAGGAATAAAACAGAGGCTGGGAGCAAAGAATGCCGGAGCTGGTGTACCTTGAAAACAAAGGATGGAACAATCTGTACCTACATTAAAGGGGGGGGGGGGCAAATTTCACTGAAAGGGTAGCAAATTTCTTTGTCAGCACTGACATGATTTCAGATTGGTCAAGCATCTGGACAGACTTCCAAGCTTGCCCATAAGTGTACGTACGATAGCAAACAATAGATCAAAATAGCGATATTAAGTAAGTGTATGTGAGCCATTGCCAAAACGTGGGGAAAAACACACACATCTCACAATAGTGTGCATAATATGTGATGCATTAGTATTTATTCCTCCAAAACTTATACACATGTCAAATATAGGACGTAGAACCTGCATTAGCAGTTTCAGACCCTATGTCAGCTTTACAATCTTGAGTTTGTAAATTTTGTGCCAAAAATGTTCGTTTTTTAGTGATTCCTGGAGTGTCATTTTGAGCACACCGATGCAAACTTCCAAGAATGTCAAAAATTTAGTATTTTTGGTGTATTTTTTTAACCTGTGCTTTGATTCTATACTATTTGTGATCGAGAAAGGTTCACTTGCTCAAGAAATCGGTTTATTTGTTTGCAAATAAACAAATAATTCGGATCACTTGTGCGTCAGGGGTGTCGTCACGGACTAGGTGTTTCAGAAAACACCATTATTTTTCAGTAGAATCACCACAGCTGGTTAAATCTTTTTGCCTATCGTCGTTTATTCAATAGTTCAAAAGCCGCGATGCGCGAAAGGAACATTGGGTTCCTAGATCTACGATTTCGGTCGGCTGTTTAACATTCGCCGTTAATGGCGTCACTTTGCGACGTACCGGAAGTCCGAATTTTAGCCTACTTTTGTTTTGAACGGGTCATCAACAGTGCCCGGATATAATTGTTTTCTTGAGTGACTTCCCCTTACCCGCTTCCCCAGAACAGCGGGAGCAACGGGGTAAAGAGAAAAACGAAAGTAGTCATTGCCGTCACCCTCCGGTTACGCACAAGAATCTTGCGTTGAATGTGACGTACTGGACTGTTTTGCGTGTTTTTAGGCTACCCTATTGAATATTTTAGTGAAATTGTGGTGTTTACATTGGATTCCTGGAACAAGAGTGTAATGTGTGAACAAACTTCGAGAGATGGATCATTTCTGTGGTTGTAGATTTAGCTTTTGTGCTTAGTGATGACATTTGGGGTGTCGTCATGCAGCCGTACAAGACTGACCGACGTACTAGAAATTACATTGTCCTAAGAGCAAACATTATTTAAGTCATGTGTGCTCTTTTTACTCAAACAAATAGACAAACATGTCCTTGTTTATCTGTCTAACTCAAAAGTACACATTTGTTCTTTGTTGGCATGATATGCCTTTTTCCAATACATTGTGTCATCATTGTTATGTACAAGTAATATTTTTCATAATTGCTAATATCAATAAGTTTTCAACATATATTTCATACATGCAAGATTCATTTAGAAACAAAATACGCCTTTATTGATCTGTGTATCTCATAGTGCAAATTTGTTCTTTGTAGGCATGATTTTACCTTTTCCCAGTATGTTTTGTCATCACTGTTATTAACTGTTATGTACGAGTACTCTTTGTCATAATTAGCAACGTAATTGTGATTGTCTACTGTCTTTGATATGACCTTGTATCTGTTTCAAAGCAAAAGAAACCTCTCCTGGGTTTTTTTTATTCTTAAAGTACGCTTTTCTCTCTGGAGACAAGACTTTTGTCTTTTCCTGTACATTGTGTCATCATTGTTATGTACAAGTCATGTTTGTCATCACTGTTATGTACAGGTCAGCTCAATTGATTTTGCACTTTTGCTTCATATTAGTTTAAAAATTGTATTACACATGTGTTTTTCTGGTACTGAGGCTTTGATAACCGTATTTGTACAGCCTTTCACTATTGTGATGTGTTGTCAATGATAATGTCCAATGTGTATCCTTTCTTGTACATAACAATGATGACATGTTCTGTGCACTGCGTCATTGTTACAAAGCTTGTCATTCATATTACCATTATGAATGGAGTTCATAGTGTACGAAGTCTTTGTTTACTAAACAAATGGAATTTAAAGTCCATAATTTGCCTTGCTGCTTATCTGTTTTTGTCATCACTGTTACATACAAGAAATACAGCAGTTGCCAAACCAATAGACCCATATCTCCAAAACCGTACGTCTCCTTGCTCTGATACTCTAGGAATATGAGCACTAAATGTCAATCTGTGACTGACAGAAAAGAGAGTCAAATTGGTAAGAACATTTTTTTTGCACCACTGAGTCTCAAGAGAGTCTCACGTTTTGGCAATTGCTCATGTGAGTCCAGTATTTTGGCGAGTCAGAGTAATTATGAAAAACTCGAAAGAGTACTTGAGTGCTTGAATCCTAAAGTTTACAGATTGGTTAACTAGAGTAAAGGCACTATTTGCGGCCGGCCGAACTATGCGGCCACTTTCCTTATAAAGTCAATAACTCAAGTCTTGTTTCATATTCCAAATGGAAACCAAGCTTGCATAATGCACTGGCATATCACATGCTCACAATAAAGATGGTCTCGATAGGCAGCAAAGTTTGAGAGCGGCAAAAAGTTTGAAGAATTTAGTCAATCAAAATATCCATGTGTGAAAATTTGACTGGTCACTTTTCCATGGTCATTACAAAGTTTTCTTGTCATATTTTTTACGAAGTGACTATTTCTCCGAACGTTCGGAGAAATAGTGCCGATCTTTATTTCTCCGAACGGTTTCCGGCTTCCGCTCTGGTCGTGATTGTTTGCCTATTTGCGAGAGTTCGGCGCCAACTTTCATTCCGTCATTCTGCGAGGTCTGGGAAGGAGCAAATCAAAGGTGGTATCTGTTCTCAGCTTCTCCTCCGGCCGTGTGCCCACTGGTTTAGCGAGGCGGGTACTGCCTGAGGCACCCGAGAGACGGAGAAATCTGACCCTCTTTTCTATTGAGTGGACGGTTATCGTCCATTAAAAAAAAAAACGGAGCAAATTTTTGGGTTTAGATCTATTTCAATTTTCAAGAGCTAGATCTAGTCTAGAGATTTTTAGATGAGTGTAAAAACGTGAAAAAGAAAGGTTTCACAACAGAATGAAATCAAAACTAGAACAGCCCAGAAACAACCACAACAATTAACAAATAAGGGCGTGTGTCCACCTGTCCGAAGAAGATTGACCGTTTTAACCCTAAATGTGCGTAATTTGTTAAAAAAAGTACAGGATATTGCATGGAAATTATGGAAGCACACACAGGGGGCCTGCCAGTGTCAGTACCTGTACTTGGTTTTGGTGGAACGCTCTAACATAGCACATTTAAATCTATACAGGTATATATATTTAGAATCTAATGAAGGTAGGAACATCAAATTAAATGACGTTACACAATACCTTTTGTAGGAACATCAAATTAAATGACGTTACACTATACAACCCCCCCCCCCCCCCCTTTTCTCCACCAAAAAAAATTAATAGGAAAACAACCTCCGAACAATTACAAGGAAAAAAATACACACCAACAAAAAATAACACCCCAAAGAGGGGAAAATGAACGAAAAATAAAAGAGGGACAGCAATACAAATCGGATGGAACTGTAACGGATTCAAAAAAACAACGGGGGGGCCACCAAAAAAATCGAACCCCGATGGATTGGTTGCGGCCTTGACAACAGCAGATGCTAGCTCTATGTGTCGTTATCAATAACCCTCCATAGATCTAGATCTAGACAGCTCACGAGTGAACGCAACACATTAAGTTTAAGAGCAGCACCCTTCATAGGCCACACGTCATATCTGTAGCGAAAAACTGTTTGGAACTGTAGCATTTCTTTATATAAATACGGACATTTTTTGGACCGATTGAACCATATTGTATACGAACAATCTTTGGTAGGCCTATAATATAATTATAGATCTATATTTTATTTTTATTATCCGAAATATGCGGGAAAGGGTGTGATTTCAGAGTGTTCGGAGAAATAGTGCCCAGCTTTATTTTCCCGAACGTTCGGAGAAATAGTGCCGGCCTATTTTTTATTCGATTATAGGTTCATGTGTTGCAGTAGTGAATAAATATCATGTGTAAATGTCTCAAGTGTAAAAAAAACCAACAAAGGGGACCCAGCGAGGGGGTGGCCGCATAGTTATTCCACTATTTTTTAAAAGGGACTTCTTGAGATCGGTGACGTCTGCAAAAGATCTACTCCATTGGAAAAGGGCACTGTTATGGTCAGTTGCTAACAGTGGCCATTTAACAGCAATTTAGGTTTCATTCTTGCATTCAGAAAGCCTGGTTTGTACTTCTTGACTACAATGTGATAGATCAATCAAGACTGACTCCACCAGATTCGGTGCAGTCTGAAGAAACTACCCTGTCACTTGTACCTCTTGACAAGGTGACCACCAGGCCCCGGGAATATGAAAAAAAAAATTGCCGAGACCCAGGAATTTGAGGAAATCTGTAAATTACCCCGGGAATGACCCAGGGAAATAATTAATAATTAAAACCAAATCCGATAGGGTCAGTAAGTTCATTTTTGCCGGTCGCGATTGAGTTTTTTTCCTGGTCTGAGTGATAACAAAACTTTTATGAGAGAAGGTTTCTGACTGGTGTTTGAGTGACTGCGTGTTGGCTAATGTTTAGTTAGACCTAAGCCAATGATGCGCAACACGCATGAATGCTCGTTCATGAAATTACGGTCAGGGGCGGTCGCTTGGAAAGCCACGTGGCTGGGCTGTCGTCTCTATGACTCTATCAACAGTTTCTTGGGTTCCCGACTTCATTTTATGGTGCATTCATAACATCGAGTCTGTCTTCTGCCCCCCACACACACCCATTTAACGCCTTTTTTGCAGTCTTAACCGCAGTTGGGGAATCCTTCACAAAACAACCACATGTCGTCACATTATCGGCCCAAAGTGACCCCCACCCCAAAGGGAGTCCCACTAGAATATCACAAGGCAATGAGATGACTGCGTCCCTTCCTCCCTTTTGCAGAGGTTTATGTAAACGCACGCTCCGTATAAACACAAGCTAAGGAACCCTCCCGACGTGCACTGTGCGTTTAGGCGGAGACTACTCTGTATAATACTGTATAGGCTAGCCAAAATCACTCCACCCCCAGTACACACCTTATGACTATGTTACACACACACTACACTACACGCCCGCGGGCCACTCCATTCGCAAATAACGAACAAATCTCGAGAATGTAAACCGTTCGGAGAAATGAGAGTTCAAGTTTATTTTCCCGAGAGCGTTCGGAGAAATAGAGCCGGCCTGATAAATTTACCTTTTCATCTTTAGCTGATGAACGGTGTACATGCGCCACCATTTCCATGTGTAAAAATTCAAATAATGCTTCATCTGCCATTGTTAGCCTCGACTACAGGATAAAACTTCTTGACGCAGCAAAGCTGACTATTATACAATACTAGATTCTAGATCTAAAGAATCTAGATATAGGCTGTATCAAAATTCCAATTCGCCTGTTGTCACTCTTCTATTGAATTGGGGGGTGCACTCTCGTTTACATCAAGTTTGGTTTAGTAGTTTCCTTCCTCGCCCCTCACTTGCCAGAGCACAGATCAGGGAGATCGGAAGATTCCACAATATGCCAAATTGTCACGTAGACAAACAATCAAAGGTGAAAACGAATCAATTTAATTATTTGACTATCAGCAAAGTTAAACAAATCAAAGAATGCCCTAGCCAATTCGATCAAATATAAAAATGCATTATCAAAATGCTGTTTGGATGTTACTCCCTCAATGTCTGCATAAACAAAAATATGCATGTTCTTTGACTTTCTTCTGGCCTACCAGAAATGGACCTCAAGATTGAACCGGAGACCGGAAGTTGAATTAGGCCTAGCTTGTCCAGCCTAGCTCTATTCGTTTTTCTTTCATTACAGAGAGTAGGCCTACAGAGAACAAACTCACGATGGCAGAGCTGCCTGGAGTAGAAGTGCTTCAGAACGAAATTGAAAAGGCGAGAGACAAGCTAAAAGGCTACAATGAAAATATAAAGAAGCTGACAGGGCGTGATCCATCTGGTCCAGGGTATGAATATGCAGTTATGTTGTGAAATTGTAGAAATCGTGGTCTTGAGTCTTGAGTCTGAGTCTTGAGCAAAGGCAAAGAGGGGCGATTTTGTAGTTTCGTTGGTAGGCTGTTAAAGTCAAGAGTAGGGGGGTTTCAGGGAGGCTTGCCCCCCTGACCTAATAAAAATATGCAGGTTGGGGGGAGGGGGGTTCAAGGGGGCATGCCCCCCCCCCCCTGAATTTTATCCTAATTTGATGTTTTGCAGTTTAGGTTGCATCCCTGCTCTTTGTATTTGTGTAGATCTAGAGTACATCCTGTGGTGCGGTATACAGTTTATAAGCGATCTTTTGTGGATATCTCTGGAAGTTACAGGTCGATCTTCATGATTTTTTCACCAGAAGTTAGAAAAACTTCCTCTCTATACGGTGTAGCGCATTACTGTAACAGCAGTTTAAAATTTCTATACATGTTGTGGTGGTGTTTGTTTGGTAATGTGTGTCTGGTTTGGTGCGCAAGGTTTCTGGTTTGGTGCAACATATCGTCTGGTTGGGTGCGCAATAGTACCATGTTTACAGCTCTAGATCTAGATCTAGATTCTAGCTCTTTTCTGACACTTTTCATCTTTCTCTATCCTGGCCTTGTCTTCTTTTCCTTACAAGAAGTTCCTGTACTGACCATAACTTGGCGTAACGGAAGGCCAAGGTCAATGAGGCGTTTTCTTTTTGGGAGCTGTGCGCCCCCTAACAGGAGATCTCCTTACACCGTGTGTATGTGTTTTGATAATGGATAAAAAGAAAGGTGCTGTGGACACGAGAAGGGGAAAGAAGAAAACAAGAATAAGACTATACCTAGACTAGATCTAGTATTTTCGAAGAAAAAGGACAAAAAAGAAGAAAAAGACGTGAAAAGAAGAAATTGAAAAACAAAGGTGCTGTGGACACAAAGAGGTGAAAGAAGAAAAACAAGAATTAGACTATACCTAGACTAGTATTCTTTAAGGAAAAGGACCAAAAAAAAAGAAGAAAAAGACATGAAAAGAAGAAATTGAACATTTTGGAGATTAAATTTCCATATATTAATAAATTTTGACATGAATACATTAACTTATCATCTTCCAATGGCAATATAATGCATCCAAATGGAAGGAAAACAGTCTGTTTCAGTGCACAATGCAGGTCATAAAGAAATAACTTAATAAGTAAAACAAACAAAGGGCCTAGAAGCCACACTATCAATGCCAAATAGCAAAAAAGCCGATATTGCGCACTGAAACGGACTGCACAAATTTGGTCTGCTTCAGTGCGCCCTATCTGGCATGTTCCTAGGCATTAAGAAGCAGCCTGCGATAGTATTTATCGATTCTAGTATACATTCTACGATACATTAGAGCTAGTTTAACTAGATGGGCTAAATAATCAACTACTCAAGCGCTTAGTAAATTCACCGATACCGGTTACGAAAACCATTAATATGAATGGGCAAAACTTTCCGACACCGTAGAATCACGTGTGTTGACGGGAAACTCCAAAACGAAAGTGAAATAAGCTGCATTCTGCGCATGCTCACAGAAAGTGACCTCGTTTTCGCTGTTCTTATCTTATCCAAAACAAAGCAGGAGACCGGGGGTTGCGCACCCAAACAGATGCGCAGTGACCTGGTTAGACTCTAGCCTATTTCAAATGGCCACCTCTATTCTCAACTAGAATAGGGCAGGCGAGTCTTTTGGTTATTCTCACCCGGTGTGCGTTCACCATTATAGCCTAGATCTAGGCCAACCAGTTTTGCGTTCACCATGAACCACAGAATTCTACACTGTGATAACAGAAACTTTTGGCTATTCTCACCCGGTGCGCGTTCACCGTTATAGCCTAGATCTAGGCCAACAAATTTTGCGTTCACCCTAAACCACAGAATTCTACACTGTGATAACAGAAAAATTGTAGAATTCTGTGCAGTGAACAAACGTTCCATTACAACTGTAGCCTACTAAAAGCGTACAATTTTGTCTGTGGGCAGTGGAGAGAGAGAGGAGTAGCGCGGAACTTCCGGTCAAAACAAAATGGCGACCCGCATAGTTCGGCTCGATTCGAAAAGTTAAATAGCCGTAGCATCTTTGTAGACAACCAAATTAATTTACTTTTGTGTTATAACATCATTTTTTTACTTTGTTTTGGTCAATTTGATCGTCCACACCGATAGACAGTATTCAGAAAGAGAGAGAGAGGGGAGGAGTAGATCTTGCGAGAACTTCCGGGCAAAACAAAATGGCGATCCACGTAGTTCGGCTCGATTCGAACAGTGAAATAGCCATAGCATCTTTGAAGACGATCAAATTAGCTTACTTTTGTGCTATAACGTAATTTTTTCTTGGCTTTTATCAATTTGATCATCCACACTGATAGACAGTATTCCAAAATGAGGAAAAGCAGGTCTTGTTTCGCACCGGGTGAGAATAGCCTACGCTGGCAAGTCTCACCCGGGGTGAGAGGTAGATGGTTTTTCTATTCTCACCCCGGATGAGAATAGCCACTTCCTAACAGAATTGTAGAATTCTGTGCCGTAACAAACGTTCCATTTACTACTGTTAGCCTAAAAGCATGCAATTTTGTCTGTGGGCAGTGGGCAGTGGAGAGAGAGAAACAGAGAGAGAGGAGTAGCGCGAGAACTTCCGGGCAAAACAAAATGGCGACCCAAGTAGTTCGGCTCGATTCGAAAAGTTAAATAGCCGTAGGATCTTTGTAGAAGACCAAATTAATGTACTTTTGTGTTTTAACATCATTTTAAAACTTTGTTTTGGTCAATTGATCGTGAGACGAGAGGGAAAGTAAAAGAATAGCATGTTTGTTGCGTAACACTGAGCGTAACACTGATACAAATCATCAAGATAAGGGCTTTACAACAAAATCTGAGCGTGAGGCGGGAGTGAAAGTAAAACACCTCACTCTTTTTCAGCAAACAACGATAAAGGGCTTTTATATAAAGTGAAAATTAAAGTCTGTTGCAAACACCCCAGTCTATTACTAGATAGGATGGACTTCTGTAATGAGCAAACACCCCTACAAGCACAATGGAAGGGATCTACTAAAGGTTACCCAAACCCAATCTATATCCAAATACAAAGTGGAACAATACCCTCCTCCTTGTACTAGCAGTATTAATAAAGTGTTGTCACACTCTAAGCCTAACCGCGTAGTAATTTGTATGCTTTGGGCCAATCGAGGGGTTTCAGGGGGGCCTGTCCCCCTAAAGTAAAAAAAATCTGGGTTTAACCCATAATTTGATATTTTGCCGTTGGGTTTGAAATTTTTTGGAAAATATTTGATTTGCGGCAGTTTTAGTGGCTTTTTTTTGTGTGATCTGCAGCAAACAATACTGTAGTTTGACCCCCAAAGCTGTGCATCAGTGTGCGGGAGTGAAAGTAATAATTTACCTATTGACTTTATATGCACCGCAAAGTAATTTAGTTTTTGAAATATTTGGTTTCTATTCGAACTATATCACATTGAGCCAAAAACTGCGTAGTAATATCCCTTTGGGGGAATCGGGGGGTTGCCCCCCGGTGAGTGGTTGGCGGGTGCTCTGGTGTGGTTTGCTCCTTCTTTCCTATAAAAAATTTATCGTTTCTATCTCCCCTCCTTCTTTTTTGTGTTTGTTACTCTCTTGTAACACCTTATCTTCGGCATTTATATGACCTTATTGTGTTTCAAGTGCCGTAAAACTCTAACTAAAACTAAAAACCCCTGAGGTTTCAAAAAATGTTGGGCAGCTCTAGTACTTTATAACTATATGCATGCGTGGAAATAATGTAATATTGTATTGTGCATATGTGCTGAAAATGTGTGGGCGAGAAATAGGCATGCATGCACCCATGTCACTATGCAATGTGTACAGTATAGAAATACATGCATAACCCACAATTGTAGTCATATTAACCAACAGTGGTAGTCTTATAGTATAATAGTTAAAATAAAACACATCAATAACTCCAAAAGTTTTGGTGTATGGGGGTAAATAAAGGTGATTCTATTGTTTATTTGACATTATATTCAGCTGACAAAACCAAACCCAAAAAGAGGTACATGATTATGATACAACCTGGACTTGAGCGGGGTGTTATAAGTTAAATCAGAGTGCTTATTGGCCCACATGGGCATATAAAATTTCCCCTAGAACATTTATTATTTGCCCACAAAATTGCTAGTTATCTCCCCTGTGTTTGGCGCCGCCCCCCCCCCCCAGTCCACAAAAATGATAATTTTAAATGAAAATGCAAAATCCCCATTAAATAGAGAAATTATTTTATATTATAATTGTACACTTCTCAAAGGCTTATGTTAATATGTTATATTTTATACCAGAAAGTAAGTCAATTTCTACTATAATATTAAGGAGTATAGATCTAGATCTAGAATGACTCCCAAACCAACAAGATCCCAAAAGATAACAAAAACTCATTTTGTTATTAAGGATACAGAGTGCTAATAGTAATAGCTGTATTTCTTATTTCTTATTTAATCTTAATAATCAGAAACTATTAAAGCTAGAGAAAGAACGAAAAGTCCTCTCATCTTCAAAAATAGCTCAACAAATTAGTCCACCAATCATATATTTTATATTGAGAATGTATAGTTTTCCAATCTAATGCTAAAAATAAAAAGATGAACAATAGCTAAGAAGTTAGAGAACAAGTTTGGACAATACCATGTATGAAATACTTTGAAAAACAACGCATTAAATGGTCCATGTGGGCCAATAAGCCCCAGCTTATTTGCCCATGTGGGCCAATAAGAGCAGCAAAGTTAAATAATAATAAAAAATAATACCTATTAGTCGAATTAGATTTTATATTTTTTAATCTTAGCGAAAAAGGAAGCTCAGGACAATGAAATGAATGGTTCATAATGCTGACGACTAGACTCTACAGAGACAATTACAGAGGTTTTCATCTCCTGCAAGACCAGGACTGTGGATGTTGTTAGTTCTGTCTGTGCAGGCATGGTATTGTCCATATTGCCAGTAATAGCAATGATAGAAATGTAGAATTGAAAGTTACATTTTTGAGGGGGAAAAATGGACTGAAGTGCTTTTGTGACAAATTGCACACTAGTGTGACAGATGATGTGAAAGTTAATTCGATCTAATGTATTTCTTTTTTATCTGCATGTTTTAATTTAATCAAATTAGTGTAGATACTGGTTGACTAGCAATGCCAATCGAGTTCACTGTGTACATGACAAAATTTAGGTTGCTGCTTGCGGACATATTTTGGGACCGGATTGGAACGTAGGTGACTAACTTTCTCAAGCTTAGCTCTATTACTGGACCGATATGGATGAAACTTGGTGACCAATCAGTTATCAGAGATAATAAGGGAAAACTAATGATGTGGACGTTGAGTCTTGTACACACATAATGTAACCTATTTTTGGTGTCTGGAACTTTTTCGTAACGGTTATATTGTAAACTACATGAATGAAACTTGATTTTTAACATCAAGAAGGGAAGAGATGTATCTTTCCTCTATAGTGTCCTCAAATTTGAAAGTTCTATGTGAAGTTGTTGTTCAGAATTTATGTACAACTACACACTCCCCCCCCCCCCCACCGTCCAAAGCACCTTCGTGTGGAGACCGGCCATTTTTCTGTACTCCCCCGGCAATGTATGTGACCTACAAATCCCCGCATGATTATTCCAAGCCCGTTCCTTGGTCACTTGAAATAGGTTATAGGGCAAGGGCTGGTGCGCACATTTGGTTGTTTTTCTCTGTTCCCGTTACATCCCAATGGGGGTGTTAGTGTATCCACGGAAAAGACGAAAGCTTTCTAATTGGAAGGCATGTTAAATTCAATTGAATTATGTTTGATGATTAGCTTGGTCTAAAGTCTTTCAAGAAATTTTTGCCATTATTTAGTCCTTCTGTCAAAAGATCCCATGATGTGATACGAGGCTATATAAATAAAATGCATGTGCATTTCCCGACCCCCCTCTTTCTCAAAATAGTTATATGCACACTAAAATTTTAATTCTAACAAAGTAACTACAAAATGGTATGTAAATCTCATTGCAGAAATGATTTCTCCACCAAGGAACAAATTGAGTCGCCAAGTTTCTTTCAAATGCTCCAATTAATTACTGAGATGTTGTCTATTTTCTTGCGGAATCTATTGTTACATAGTCCACTTTTTGGGAATGTTCTTCCTTTATGGGTCGTCCATGTTTTTCTGCATTTTACAACCCCACAACTTTTGTATATTTGCCGATTCTGTAACTTAAATAAGCCCACAACTTTTGTATATTTGCCGATTCTGTAACTTAAATAAGCCCACAACTTTTGTATATTTGCCGATTCTGTAACTTAAATAAGCCCACAACTTTTGTATATTTGCCGATTCTGTAACTTAAATAACCCCACAACTTTTGTATATTTGCCGATTCTGTAACTTAAATAACCCCACAACTTTTGTATATTTGCCGATTCTGTAACTTAAATGAGCCCACAACTTTTGTATATTTGCCGATTCTGTAACTTAAATAAGCATTGCTCAGAATAGAAAACTTTTTCTTAGATCCCCATAAAAAAAAGGTTTGAAGCCAAAAATCAATTTCTCATTGGCTTTGCTAGATTGACCTTTTTTTGTTCTTTGTTGGTAAAAAGAATTATAAAAAGGAATACCAATCAATTCAATTAGCCTCTTTGTACTTTCAGAATTCGCCGTCTGCTCAGTGATGGCTCTGAGAGAGTTGATGATGGAGACAACTTTCAAATGGGCAGAGGGAGAGGGAGAGGCCGACTCTTTGGTCTTGCTAGGTTTGTATGAATTGATATAGTACAGTTACTAGTATAGGCCCCTGTCTTTCTTCTTCCTTCAATTGTGAAAATGTTATTCCGACGAATGTTTTTTAGGGTGGGGCTCATGCTCTGGTGTGCAATGATTAGCGATTGGTGGAATATTGACCAATCATCATCATCATTGCCTTTCTCACCCTGCACCAGGGTATAGGCCATGGACAAACACCTTCCACCTTTCTCTATCCTGGGATAGCCTCTTGATGTTATTCCATGTCTTCCCACTTTTCTGTACATATAATGACCAATGCTCAAGACTTAACACTTTGCAGTCACACAGCCAGCAGTACAAAATACCCCATCTGGTCACCCAGCCAGGAGAGTGACTGCAACGGACTTCTCCGGCCTGGCGCCAAGTGACCAGAACGAATAATTTTCACTGTCGCTTTATTGCGCCAAGTGACCGCAAAGTGTTTAAGTCATATGCATCATGTATGAATTATTTGATTTAATTTTATCAGCATTCTTCTTTGCTCGCTGCATGTCATGCCAAACATCAGGCTGCACTGGATGTAATAGTAGGGCCGCTTGGGATCGGAAGTAGCTCTTTTCGAAGTATGGTTATGGGATTCCGCGAAATAAAAATGATTGAAACTTGGTAATTAAACAGAAGAAAGGTCAAACTGACTAGTAGCAAAAGCACACAATGTCGACACTTTTGAAATTGGAGAAATCGCTGAGGTGTGATTTTCTTCCATTTTTCCATTTATAATACAGATTTTCAAACGAATATTAGTCTTGAAGTTAAGGAGAGGTAGCTATGCTCAGAGCCATTTTTCAGTCTCAGTAGTTGAGGGGTTGCACTTGGGTTGAAAGTGCGTGCTGAGATACATGTACTATTTGAGGGGAAAGAAAATAAATGAACGACGTTGGCGCTACCTTTTTTCTTTTGGGGGGATGGGAGGGAGGGGGTGCCTTGAGTTAAACGTATATCCGATCGAAGTCAAAGGCTGTGATTTTTAGATTTCATTAGACTGATTTTTGCTATTCATAGTAGTTTTTGAATGAGGATAAAATTTCCAAATCCATTATTTTTCTGTACAAGATAAATACATTTTGTCCCTTGCAATTTTTTTTTCTAAAAGTTTTCTAATTTAAGCCAATAGTCTTTGTCAAGACAGAGCCATTTATGTACACATTTTGTTGAAAAGGTTTCTTATATATATAGGGTTGAAACTTGTAAAGATGGAGTGTTCTTCGTAAGTATGCCCTGTCAAAAACTCAATTTTGAGAAAAAATGCAAAAATGTTCTATGCCCTAAATTAATTTTCATTATCTGTTAATAGGTTCTTTCACACTGTAGTCTAGGGTTTCCAATAATACTTTGCTGATTTTATACTGTGACAGGTGCCTGCTCAAAATTAAACTGGGACGTCACTGTACTGAACATTTGACAGACTTCTCTGTAGTCTCACAGTTCTCATTGTAGTTGGGTCATTACAGTAGATTGATTTCTGGGTATTTTCTGTCAATTTTCATTGATAATTTGCTCTTGTCTTTTTGGCTTGTGACTGATTTCATATTATGAAAAAGATTGACTTCATGGTCCCTTTGTTTGTGTTTGTTTTTTTCAATGGGAGAAAGGAGAACACATTGATCAATAGTTATTTGTGCATTGTTTGTTCTAACAGGCGTAACATTATGGAGGACAGTGGACCCCCAGCGAAAAGAAGAATTGTTGGTGGAGCTTTCTCAAGGTGGGTTTCAAACAGTAGTCCGTTTAGGTGGATGACAAGAGGACATTACAGGAAAAACTCCAGATTTGAATATCAGAATATGGAATCCATTTCCCACACTAGTTTCAACTTAGGTCAACTCGCAACAAAATGTTACAATTAGACCGTATTTTGGGCCAGCCCTTTCATTTTTCCACCTTCAGTCTCTGAGTATGAGAGGAGGCATGAGCGTACTCACTCTCACATATGCATGCACTTAGTGTGCTCCAAGCTATCACATTAGAAGGGCTGTCTGTTTCTACTGCATAGCTGCCACTTTCCCGCTAAATAGCGGAAACTCTGCTTCGTCTAGCTTGTCCCGCTACTTTCCTCCTTCCTCCGCTGGCCCGCTCTCGGCCGCAAATTGCGATAATTTTTTTTTACTCGTGGAAAACACAGAACCGGGAGAGAGACAAAAACGTGGCTTGCGCATGTCAGCCCGTAGCTTTCGAGTTCCGTTCTGTGCCTGCCTGGCGCTAGTTTCACATTGTTTATTGTGGAGCGACAATGTCGATCGAGCATCGGGGCGATTGCGCGCCGAGTTGTCATTGAAAACGGCGGAAATACGAGAGAAATTCATGCAGAATGCAAAAATAAAAAGAGCTGGAATGAGAAAGAAACAGACGGTGTGTGACTCGAAAAGTTCATTAGAACATTGATGAAGCCACTTGGTGCACTTTGCATTTGGTGCGATAAAGAAATGGCTCAGTACAGCGGCAAAGGTGTTGCCTCCTTGATCCAATACTGCGCGCGCTCTACATCAATGCACAAGTTTAAAGTGAAAGAAATCTTTTTATGAGACACCAGCTGGCAACAAACACTGGATTTTTTGTTACCAAGCTGTGTCAAATTATGCTTGTTAGTCAACTTCATGTCTTGGTTTTTTGTTGGGTTTTTTTTTTCTAATACATTTAAATTCAATAGCTTATGGTTAACAAATATGAGTTTACCCTTCCAAAACCATAGGCTAGATGTTCCAATATATTGCCTCTGAATCTCACTATATACCGGCCTTCAGAGAACATGCCTACGCCTTCGCTTGAATTTCCTCCTTTTTTGAAATTCCTGAGTGGCAGCTATGCTACTGGTTTTTTCTCAGTGGTTACCAATTTTGGATCTGTACTACTGCCATACCGATAAAGGTATCAAAACTATAGAATTTGCTATGGGTACTGAGATATGGCTCGTTCGACATACAATGCTTTATATCTTCTGTGTTTTTACGTAAATCTGTACTTTCCTAATGTTCCGTACTTGCCGCCTCGTAATTGATCTATTGACTCCATTCGTAATTTTTAAAAAAGATAGTAATAAGGTTGACCTACCGGTATTCTGTAGCAAAGGATCCGTACTTGCCTCCGGTAATTCTCAGCAATAATGTATATTAGAAACTTGCCAGCTTGCACATTTTGTGCCCCCAACCATTGGTCTGACTTTTTCCCGCCCGCTCTAAATAGCCTTGTTTTATGGATGTGTCTTTCTTTTTTTCAATAGATAATGTTGATCTGTTTGAAGAGACCCTGTTAAGTTGATGGCAATTCTGCTCAAAACTCTTTAATCAAAAATTTATTTTTTAGAATGATCCTCTCACCTCTCATAGGTGATGGGAGAGTGCAACTGGTTTGTCCCTTGTTTCATCATTCCTACCTATTCCTTAGCACCAAATGACTGTTATTTGCCTCATTATGATTTTTTTGACTCAAAAGAAGACAAGAAACAATAGCTAATGTTTCCTTCCTCAGACTGGGTCCAGCCCCGGTTCCGATGAGACGAACGGACAGAGAAGACAGCCCTTACCAAGAGGAGGAACTACCCCATAAGGTATGTGGGGTTTTTTTGGCTCAGGATAATTCTGACTGCCCTATACGGGCGGGTATTTGGGGGGGGGGGGGGTGTCAGGGGTCCAGAGTGCCAACGTACATTGTGGGGTCAATTTTCGCCTGTCCAGCTGGCAAACAGTGGTCAAAACTTCACATCTCCCAACTTGGCTCGGTCAACGTGTGGGGAGAATTTGTATCAAGTTTTTCAGTCCTTCTGCTGAGGTGTTGTGTCCCTCACAGTCTGGGTGGGCCCTGACCGACAGGATAGAATCACGTCTCCTAACTGTTCTGGACTGTGGACTGGAGCGTAAAATACACCTACGTTCTGAAAATGAATTCTTTTTTAGGCTCTTGTTACAGCGTATCCTTTTTTGTGCTGTTTACAGTATAACGTAATTGTAGGCTGTTAAGTGTTTGCGGTATGTCTTACTTTAGGCTGTTGCGTTTACTGTGTGTGATCTGAAGTTAACCTGTCCTGTGATTGGCTTCTCTCCGATTAGCTGTCGGTCCAGTCCTCTGTGGTGAGTACGTCCAGGGAGACCAAGAACAGAAAAGAAATTATGGAGGAGCAAACCAAGGATAAAGAAGGCATGCAACGGTAAGTGTTCTGTCCAGTAGCAAAGGTGCCGTAACTGTGCTGCACAACTGTGTATTCTGTGTAGCGGCAAAGGTTTGTTCACTGTGCAGCAAAACTATGTGCCATGTACAGTAGCAAAGGTTTGTTCATTGTGCAGCAAAACTATGTGTTATGTACAGTAGCTAAGGTTTGTTCATTGTGCAGCAAAACTATGTGTCATGTACAGTAGCTAAGGTTTGTTCACTGTGCAGCAAAACTATGTGTCATGTACAGTAGCTAAGGTTCCTTGTTCAGCAAAACAGTGTCCTGTGTAAGAGCAAAAGTATGTGCTCTGTGTGGTTTGTGTAGCGAAGGTAGCATCCTGTGTCATTGGTGTCACAAAGGTGCATGCTCCGTTGGTTCCTTGTGTAGCAAAAGTCTGTGTGTTTTGTGAACAAATGTATATATGTAATGTGTTCCAAAGTTATGTGTGTTCTTTATCATAAAAGTACCTGTTCTGTGTGTGTTCTGTGTCACAGAGGTACCTGGTCTGTGAATGTTATGTGTCAGGGGGTGTGTTATGCTGTGTGTGTTCTGTGTTATAAAATTATGTGGTGGGTGCTCTGATGTGGTTTGCTCCTTTCCTATCAAACATCTGTCGTTCTTTTCTTCCCTCCTTCATTTTTGTGTTTGTTACCCTCTTATAACACCTCAAATCTTTGGCACTTACACGATTTTATTGTGTTGCATGTACCATAAAACTCTTGCTAAAACAAATGGTATGTGTTTTGTGTCAGGGAGGTACGTGTTCTGTGTGTGTTGTGTTCTGTGTCACAAAGATATGTGTTCTGTCAATGTTATGTGTCAGGGAGGTACGTTTACTGTGTGTGTTCTGTGTCACAAAGATATGTGTTCTGTCAATGTTATGTGTCAGGGAGGTACGTTTACTGTGTGTGTTCTGTGTCACAAAGATATGTGTTCTGTCAATGTTATGTGTCAGGGGGGTACGTGTTCTGTGTGTGTTGTGTTCTGTGTCACAAAGATACGTGTTCTGTGAATGTTATGTGTCAGGGGGGTACATACTGTGTGTGTTGTGTGAATGTTGTGTGTCAGGGGGTACATACTGTGTGTGTTCTGTGAATGTTGTGTGTCAGGGGGGTACATACTGTGTGTGTTGTGTGAATGTTGTGTGTCAGGGGGTACATACTGTGTGTGTTCTGTGAATGTTGTGTGTCAGGGGGTACATACTGTGTGTGTTCTGTGAATGTTGTGTGTCAGGGGGTACGTATACTGTGTGTGTCAGTGTTACGTGTCAGGGGGTACATACTGTGTGTGTTGTGTGAATGTTGTGTGTCAGGGGGTACATACTGTGTGTGTTGTGTGAATGTTGTGTGTCAGGGGGTACATACTGTGTGTGTTGTGTTCTGTGTCACAAAGAGGGGTAAGAAAATGCCTTGTTTGATCTTGGTTTCATGTTGGCGTGGTCCATTGATTCGTTTGAGCAGTTTGTGTAGATTTTTTCTTACTGTCTAATCCTAGGTGGCGTCGATAATGTCGTAAAACACACTCATTCATCAATAATCCTAGGTGGGTCGGAGGACGATTTCATGGAAATGTCTACGCAGGGAGGGGGCTCCCGAAGTTAACTTCTACGCATGTTGGTTACTTTGACAGATAAAGATGAAAAATTGGAGATCTGACATGGATGGTGGGGGCATATTGGCTGCTGAAATAGAAGATGAGCACTCTGAGATGTTGAACTGTCTCACTCTACTGTTGTGCAGCTGTTGTGTAATTCTTTCACTGTATTATTTCTGTCTTACGTGTTTTCCCCCCAAATAAACATGGATGGTTGACAGGGTCTCTGATGTAGTTTGCCCCTTTATTCCCATCAAACATGTATCATCCTTGTCTTTACTTCTTTTCTTTGTATATTACCCTCTAGTAACTCCTCTAATCTTCAGCACTTACATAACCTGTTTGTGCTGCAAGTGCTGTAAAACTCCTACTAAAATACAAACAAACTTGATGGACGTTGGTGATCATCACACGTAATTTTTTCCTTTCAGAAATCGTCGTATGTTTGGACTGTTGATGGGAACTCTCAACAAGTTTAAGACAGAGTCCAAGACACTTCAGTCAAAGGTAAGCTAGTCTTGTGTATGGGCTCAAAGGTCAAAGGTAAGCCAGTCTTGTGTGTGTGCTCAGAGGTCAAAGGTAAGCCAGTCTTGTGTGTGTGCCCAGGGGTCAAAGGTAAGCTAGTCTTTTGTGTGCTCAAAGGTCAAAGGTAAGCCAGTCTTGTGTGTGTGCTCAGAGGTCAAAGGTAAGCCAGTCTTGTGTGTGTGCTCAGAGGTCAAAGGTAAGCCAGTCTTGTGTGTGTGCTCAGAGGTCAAAGGT